AAGTCGCGTAAATCATCGAACGAAATCCAGTTGGATTCGTTCAACCTGACCGCGATTTCGCTCGCTCGTTCTTGCCGCGAATGCACAAGAGTACATGCTCCGGTGTAAAAATTGAAGGCTCGGGCATAGCTGAAACGTTGCAGCCAACGACCGGACGCCCGTCCGAGGGTGGACCACGCTTTTACCTCTAACGCTTGAAAACTTCTGTTGTTCTTGCATCGCATCCGAACAGTCGGCAACAGACGGCAGTAGTTGTAAACGATGTAAAACCGCACACAATGAATGTAACCGTTGCAGTGAGAGAGAGAGAGAGAAAAATGAGAGATAAAGAAAGCAAATAAACGTTTCTTTGGCATCTGATCACTTTGTAGTCGTTATTTTTGTGATCGCTTTTCTGCGAGCACTGAACAGCCGTGAATGCGTTTTGTTCTATCCTCGCCGTGAGAAACGATACAGTACCGCTCGCATCCTATGGACGCTCTTTCTCGCAGCTCGATCGAACTCCGTGCACACCTGCCAGGAGACTTTTCTGTTTCTTTGCGCGTATGTGTGGCTATCCGCAGCTTCTCTGTATGTGTAAATAGACGTTTATCTCGAATCGTACTCGAAATCCTGTCCGCTGGCCTCTTCTCTGTTTCCGTCTCTATCTATCTGCTCGTACGTACATATACATATGTATATACATATATACATATATATACACACATATATATATACGTATACATATATAGGGAGAAAGAAATGTGTAGCGAATATACGGGGTGTCCTATAATTGTGGGGTCTCAGCAACAAATGACCTCGGGAATCACCTCTTTCCAGGTGTCGCGGGACACCCGGTATATGTGTGTATGTATGTACGTATGTACATATACATATATACATATATATATATATATATATATATATATATATATATATATATATATATATATATATATACACACACATATATATATATACATATACATACATAGGGAGAAAGAAATGTGTAGTGAATATACAGGGTGTCCCATAATTGTGGGATCTCAGGACCAAATGACCTCGGGAATCACCTCTTTCCAGGTGTCGCGGGACACCCGGTATATGTGTGTATGTATGTACGTATGTATATACATATATATACAATATATATGTATGTATGTATGTATATATATATATATATATCTTTATTACTATCAATTACTGTGTATCTACTTTTAGACTAACACTTCGTTTCCGTGGTACGCCGTCGAATGCAACGCGCGATCGATCGTTTCCGAGCGAACATACGATACCTGTTCTATGTAGAAACCGAAACTGCGTCGAGCACGAATGTGTCATTGCGCGAGAGACGCGCCGGTATGTCCCTGATTGCGATTTAGTAAGTTCACGTTCTGCATTCCGTGTGGCCGGGACTAACCGTCGGACAATCCGGTATGCTGTGTTCCAGTAACAATCGAGCTCATGGTTTCCCAACTCGGGAAAACGACGATCGGACGGACCACCAGGCCCTCGAAAATATCCGCTTCGCTTTCAGAGTTCTCGCCGCTTGTACGTCTCTCGTGGCAATTTCGCACGATTTTTCCTCGCTTTTTCTCTTACCGAGAGAAGGATGGTTCCGGGCATCGCCTCGTTGTCCGCGAACAATACGAACAATTTTTTTTCTTTTGCCTTTTACTTCATCTTGTTCTTCAATTCTCTGTAAAAAACTGTTCGGAAGTTTATGCATCCTCCTATTGTGTTATAATAATAATAATAATAATAATAATAATAATTATTATTATTATTATTATTATTATTGTTATTATTTTCGAATTGATTCGAGAGCAATTACGTTTCGCTTAGCCTCGTTCTTCCATTCTCGATGACGAGAGCCGTTCGAACATATTCAACTTTCATCTTTCTATCGTATCGATTTTTTATCACCAGACCGCGGACATTTCGTGCAAAATGAAAATTGCGCGCACGAGCTGTAAGCAGCATTTAATATTTATCTCGCGTCTCGATAATTTTAATTATTAGGTCGAGTCACAAATAGTTATCGTTGGACATTTATTTTCTTTGTCCTTTTATTTATATTTTTATGTTTTTAATAAATTACTTATTTCGAATCCTTTTCTATTCAGTGAAAGCAAAAGCTCGTTTGTCCCGGTGACTAATAGCTGGTAGAAGATACGAACAATAGAATTCTATCTAGCTGCATCGCAAGTTATTTATGAACAGTAGAACAGTACTTCGAAATTTTTCAAACGATTTTACACACGTTTTCGTCATAGATGCATAAAATCCGCGGTCTATTCATCGCTGTATATTATTTGCGAATAATGTGGACAATTCAATTTCGTCCTGTCTTATTCGTTCATTTTCTATCGAGGACAATCGGCAAGTTTCACCGCGTATTCTTCTGTCATATAAATCTTCTGTCGTTGTATAAAGACGTTAAAGAACAAAGCATATCGAGAAAACGAGGAACAGATGATGGTTAAAATTAAAAGAATTAAAATCGAATGAGAAGTGTATCTCTCGAAGGAGGCGCGGAACACTAATAGCCTTGAAGAGAGGACAGTTAGCCTGAAAGGTTGGGAAACTATGATCTAATTGACGTGCCCGTTCCTTCGGGAATTAGCCGGCTGACACGGTGTCATCCGCGTTGCTGCTGTGCTATCTGCAAGCTCGAGACCACCTTCTGCGAACGAACAGTATAGTTGATGTTCGGGAATTCCGTGGAGAGGTTCGGTTCGGAGAATGTTTAGACTGTACATAAATTAGCGTAGATTGGACTCACCGATACATATATACAGGATGTCCAAAAAATGTATCGCAATCCAGAAATGGCGGGTTCCTGAGGTCATTTGAAGCAACTTTTTCCTTGGCGCAAATGCAATCCGCGGCTTTGTTTACGAGTTATTAGCGAAAAACGGTGACCAATGAGAGGTGAGATAATGCTGGCGCGAGGCGGCCGAGCCAATAAGCGGAACTCGGCTTCGGCCGCCTCGCGCCAGCCGAGCTCGACTCTGATTGGTCATCGTTTTTCGTTAATAACTCGTAAACGAAGCCGCGGATTGCATTTTCGCTAAGGAAAAAATTACTTCAAATGACCTCATGGATCCCCCATTTTCAGATTGCCAGACATTTTGGCGAAACACGGCCTGCACAGTAAATTCTCTCTGACACTGAGATTATACGCAAAAATGGACAATTTGGGAAGAGGAGATACGATTATTCGAGCCTTACGGCTCGTTTTTATAGTTACCGATTTTTAACAACTATAAAAACGAGCCGGAAGGCTCGAATCATCGTATCTCCTCTTTCCAAATTGTCCATTTTCGTGCACAATCGGAGCGTCGATTAGGGAGAATTGCTGTATTTTTTAAGCAAAGAATTTATAAAAAAGAAGTCGTTTTACTTAACGCAGTTATTGAATGTTTTAGATCGAACAAGATTTTGTACAGAAGGTAATGACATCGAATGGTAGAATAACGATAAAGTTTTATACGAATGTAGCCAACCTTAGTATTAGTAGTCGTTCCAATAGGTGAGAATTTTAATATAAGCAAATACGGACTTGTTCAGTGATAATTTTTACTCGAACAAATAATATATCGACAATACTTTTTATGTCTTTTTTGTGTTTAGTTTTTTGTGTCACAGTTAGTACAAAACAATTCATGCATGTCTCTTAAAGTAATACATAACATACATGTTCGTGCACAAGTTACGTTACTTTGCGTTGGAATAATTTATGAAACAAAGTATTCTGCATAGATTGTTAACACTAATACCGCGTTTCGTACAATAACGTAACATAAATTACGAATGTACAAAGGCCACGCTACACTACTAGCTATAAATAATTCATACTAATCGCTAGACTATGCGAAGTTGCATGCGTTTATAGGGTAGAAAAATTGTTCATAAAAAAGAGAATATTATCGATACACTCCGTTTTCAATTCGAAAACAATTGACGGAAGAACGAACCGTTCGTTTCAATGTTTATCCAACGTCTTCAGTTTCTCGATTAAAAATGTATCTGTTTACTTTTTTCTTTCTTCATTCAAAATATAACATTATGTAGGTAAAATGTTGTTTCTTAAATTCAAACGTAAAAAGAAAGTAGCTGAAATCAGAAGAATTGTTTATAAATCTATTTCTGAAGAACGTTTTCAGACCGATACTTGCGAATAAAGATACGTCGCATAAATCTCCGCGATCTAATAATCGTATCGTTTAACAATCTACATACCGTACGAACTCTGTCGCATCTGATCTTGAACATTTTTGTCAAAAAAGTCATTCATCCATCCAATCGAAAACGACCAGTGTCCCGTTTCACAATTCTTATCGCCACAATAAGGACACATTATTCCAGTGATCGCTAATTTGCAAGCGCGTATGTCACCTCTCCGCAACAAAAAGCCCACGTCTGTTCCTTCGAGCATAAATCGTTCCTGATCGAGTCAAAAATGCTTCAAATCGCAATAAATAAACTCCTCGGTGACCGAACGGCGGGAAAGCGGCAAATCCATTGCATCGAATTACAGTTTCTCAATGAGAATGCTCGTATCATTTATTTTTGCTGTTTCCGATCGAACGTGTAAAACTTTCTGCACCCGAAAACCGCCGAGAATTTTCCTGAGTTCTCGATCTAACGTTTCGGTCGACAGAAAGATATCGGAAAATGTTCGGAACGAAAATAATTTCGCAAAAAGACGGCGCGCCGAGCGAAAGATATGTTTGAAACGTGGCTCGCGCGAGCCGGCGAAAAGCGAAATAGTTGGGAAACTATGCGGCAAAATTCCGCGAAAGGAGAACTAAAGAACCCGAAGGCAGCCGGCGCGCGCGAAAATTACGCGCTGCTGCGAATGGACGAACGGCTCGAAACGTAGGAAACAATCGTCGGTTTCGATGGGCGATTGTTTTGGGGGTTGAACGGGGTTGGTCTCGGGCTTGCGGCGCGGGCGGTGCGAAACCATCGGATGGTCGCGCGCTGCAGCGAAGAGTAATGAAATTTCATTGCAGAGCGAGGCGTGGATAGGCAAAGCGATGATAGCTCCCGGAGAGCGGACAGTGATTCGCATCCGGAGAATTGGACGGATCACGAGGCGAACGATCCCCCGAATTACGTGCCGGGCTCGCCGCCGAAGTCCGAGCAGCACAATAAAAACGAGGGCTCGGACAAAAGGACCAGACTTTTTGCCCGCGATAGAGGCACGCCGGGTAGCAATAAGTCTAAAAAGCACAGCCTCAGCGTAGACTTGAAGCCACCCGCCGACTTGAATAGCTCCGAGGTAGAATGCACCACACTCCGCACAAAGAATAAGTCCGTCGCGACGCACTCGTTCGTCCAGAGAAAAAGGCCGCACGGTGTTCCACGGTTATGCGACACACGCATACTCGGACACGGTTCTCTTCCAACCACTTGCCGTGCGCGATGAGCCCAGCGCTTGGAAAGATTTCAGAGTTTGCTTCTTTTCGTCGCGAAACCTACCGGTTTCGCGTTCATTGTTTCGAGGCTGTTGAAATTACCGTAACTGTTTCATGGAACATGATTCGACGGATCTCTTGATTCAAGCATACGTTACGATAAAAATGGAGAACGGTCCGAATAAATGAAGTATTTCATCGTCGTTATAAAGCGGCGCACTTTTTACGCTAGTTACTTTTAGGGGTTGGTTGGTTTAGCGTTGACACGACGACTGCCATTTCAGTCGTGCCGGAGTAATACCGTTTTCCGAGCGTGTTCAAAGAACTTATTCGTTTAACGATTTAGCTGCTGAAATCTCTTTGAAAAGTATGCGGGTCACTGTAGTTATACTGCAGTATACGTTTGATTTTCTTCATATTTTTTGGTTAAATGCGCAACGCTTTTGTAAAATATATAATTTAATGATGAATGTCGAAGAATATGTTCTTCTTAACGGTTTAGCTGTTCTCGGCGAGTATACTCGTCGGAAACAGCTGACTAATTAAGCGGAATTTCATTCGGATTTGTAGGCTCTGAAAGGGTTGAAGATGTAGCTGGTCACCGTGATCAACTTTAACTCTGAAGTTTTGGTTTTATTGACTTTTATACTTGAGTTTCGTGGGATATTTCGGGCTGGTGAACAAGTTACACGGCAAAGGGTTGATCGAAAGTTTTCGTAGCTTCTGGGGAAGCGGATGAAGCGATCGTCGGCGCATCGAATGTAGCGTACTTTCTCGGGGACACATTTTTCATTTTACGAATTGCCAAAATTTCAATCTGTCTGTTTCATATTTCTTTTTTTTTCGAGGAATTTTGATCAGGGAATTTCATTTTCCTTTGTAGAACGTTTCTCTTCGTGTGTTCACTTGATATGCGGCTCGGGTGAGGAAGGGGTAGTGGGCGATTAGAAGGAGAAAGTATGTCGAACACAACTGTGGAGCACTGTCTACAATTTTCACGAAGCCTTTCTCTCTGTAATCTGTAAACAACGATTTTAGTTCGTGCGATTACGAATAGATTTCTTGCCTTTCGAGTTTCACGTCTCGAATGATCTTTTAACCCCTTGCACTACGGCAACGAGTCAGACTCGCGACGACGATTTCGATACGTAATCCCACTAAAGATAAATTTTGATTTTTCTATCATCATCGGAGATAGAGAAAGTGCTTATCAACGTAGCTGCGAAAGAAATCGTAGTGCAACGGGTTAAGCCAGCTGTGTTTTAATTCAATATTGATAAACGTGTACACTGTTCCAGCCAAGGAAAGCCTTAGTGGAGCAATTAAGCCGCGTTTTACCCGATGACAGTCTGCCAGACGCGGTGTCATTGGTCTCATTATCGGATCCTGGTGGAGCGTTGCTCGCCGCGAGGCTTCAGGAAAGGAACCACCGAGTTCTAACCACCGCCTCCCCTGCTGACATTCGTGCCACGTTCACATGCTTGGTCACACGAATACAAAAATTGTAACTATCATTCGTTTTCAATCAATTTTGCCACCCGCCGAACTGGAATCCTTCATTTATCTAGAGAACAAAAATGGTCAATTTGGGAAGAGGAGATACGATTAAACGAGCCTCGGAGCTCGTTTTTATAGTTGTCGACAATCGGCGACTATAATAATAAAATCGTGTCTCCTCTTCCGAAATTGTCCATCTTTGTGTAGAAGCTGATGGACGATTGGGAAGAATTTACTGTACACCCATTCGTTAACCCTTTCGGTACGAGCGCCGGATATATCCGGCATCCATCTGATGACCAATATGGACGAGTGCCTAATACATCTGGCATCTATGTAAGCCATATTTCTGTAGGCCCTTTACAGAATGTTTACAGGAAACGTTTAAAGAAAAATTTAGAAACGGATTAAGCACAGTCATTACTTAACGCTTAAGAAAATCTTCGTACAAAAGTGCACTGACCCTGTGTTATGTGCGCATTTTCGGCGCGGCACCCAGTACAGTGGGAGTGTCACGGCGGACAACGCGCTCGTACCGAAAGGGTTAATCATGCCAGTCGAATTCGATTCAGCTTTTAACATCAAATATTTCTCCATTTTCCTGTTCACCGATCGATAGATATCTTTCTATAGGAATATTTTGATTGCGGGCTTTCATGCAAAATTAAAATGTTCTGCAATACAGAACTTGATCATTTACTCTTGATAGTTTCAACGAGTTAATTGTTGCTTCGTACTGCTTTGTACTAGTGTCTACTAATTTTTGCGAATAAATAAAGTTCACAGTCCAGGCATATTTCTCTATCGAATGATACTCGAATGGTTAAACAAATATACAATGAATTGATTTCAACGATCGTTTACTCTTATAGTACTTAAATTGTTCAGATTCTTCGTTATAAATTCGTAGAAGGAGATTTGAAACTTCTGTGTGTCTAATCCTGCGTAATGAGATCGGAAAAGTTGATGAAAGCGATAACCTTATTGAAATTAAAATGAAGTATGCATCGACTGAGATTTTGTGTATTCTTTGAGAAATACTTTCTTGTGTAGTTGCAATAGCTCGGCGAAGCCCCCAGCACCGATCAAAGTGGTGATCGCCGGTGGAGACTGTTTCGTGAACGCGGTGCTACGCCATTATGTGGATCTGCTGAGCTTTCGGCCGCCAGATTGGCAGAATTATCTCAAGTTCTTGGTCGTGCCTCTGGGTTCCAACACATTGTCGAAGTATCTCAGCTCGATAGACGGGAAGTACTCGATGCTTTTTGGCGAGGAATGGAAGGAGCTGCTCGATAGGGAGGGCGGGGGTGCGGGCGAGTGCGCGGTGAGGGTGGCAGAGTATTTGGCTGTCTCTGGAACCACCTTGCTGTTGCCAATCGGTGAAGCCATGGTTACCTACAGGTAATCAACCTTCCGTTCTTCAGCATCGTGCTGCGAATCTGTCTGCGAAATATCAAATTGTTTGCGTCAATTTTATACAATAAAAACCGCTGTTCCTTCTTTTCGAATAATTTTTAATAGATTGCAGATATATATCGACATTTTTAATTGCGACACTAGATTCGGTGAAAATACAGTTTTATAATTTTACATTATTTACCTCGCGGATCTATACTTGTGTAGAAAATCCTGAAAAAGTTCTTATCTCCGGCGAAACAAAAAGGGGAGACTCTCCGTCAGCTGCAAAATATTGGGAGCTTGTTATTTATTTTTCGCCAAGAATATTTTTAAAAAATTATTGATTGTTGTTCACGACTCCGGTGCTTCGTGAAAATGTTACAGAACATGTTCGTTGTTTTTCTCGAAAATGAGAAGCTATTGTTTAAAGAATTTACACGGATGATCGGGAGCTTCACTTGGTGTTCCGTACTCGGAAATTTTACAAGACGATCGCAGAAATGTTGAAAGCAGTAAATAGTAAAATATTTGATGTTGTGCTCACAGGGAGACAGACGACAGCAGCCAAATATTCATCCCGTTCATAAACGACGTGCGAGTGGGCTGCCCGGACAGCAGTTCCTCGGCTTCGGTGGATCTGGACGAAACCAACGCAACGATGTCCGGTTCGCCGCCGTCTTTGCCACCCGCTGGTCTGCCGATTCCTCCACCAGGTCGGTTAACACCCCCGAGCAGTCCCAACGTTGGTCAACCGATGAGGGAAGGCTGGGAACCGGTCGAGCTGCAGCTCGATTACTGGAGCAAGCAGACCCAGGGTGAAAAGGGCAAGAACACCTTGAGGCAAGCGTTCAGGGCCCTTCACGTTCAAAGACTCCCACCACTCGGGGAAACGCACGGCAACCATTTGTCCATGAACTACACGACCAAGGAGAAAAAACAGAAAAGTGCGTACACGCGACACGATGTTCGACTATTAACTTAATGAAGGATGTTTGAACAGTTTCAGATTACTTCCTTTTTGCTTTCTTTCACGTAATATCATCCCATAACGTTGCTACTTTTACAGTAATGAGGTTGGGCAAGAAGAAAGAAAAAGAGAAGGAAAACGAGCCAAAGAGTCAAACGGTCGACGGCGTCACGCGACTAATTTGTTCTGCGAAAACTCATAACATTCCATTAAGAGGTGAGTTCCGAGAGGCAATTGATTCTTTTAGAGGTGGGTCGCTCAGATTTTGACAAGCATAACTTAATTAATGATGTTTAAAGTCTTTCTCAAGGTGGTTCAACCTAGGTGCTTCAGAGAAAACAACAGATTCTATTCTATTAGGTCTACCGGAAAGTTCTGTCCGTTTAAGAAATGAAAGGAAATAATAGATTTTTCATAAATTTAGTAATATTTATTGTACAATATAATTTCCGTCGTTACTTATGACCTCTTGCCAGCGTGATGGCTATTTGTGAGCAACATTTTCCAAAAATATATGTCTCACATGAATATGTGCATATCTATTGAAATTNGAAAATCCTGAAAAAGTTCTTATCTCCGGCGAAACAAAAAGGGGAGACTCTCCGTCAGCTGCAAAATATTGGGAGCTTGTTATTTATTTTTCGCCAAGAATATTTTTAAAAAATTATTGATTGTTGTTCACGACTCCGGTGCTTCGTGAAAATGTTACAGAACATGTTCGTTGTTTTTCTCGAAAATGAGAAGCTATTGTTTAAAGAATTTACACGGATGATCGGGAGCTTCACTTGGTGTTCCGTACTCGGAAATTTTACAAGACGATCGCAGAAATGTTGAAAGCAGTAAATAGTAAAATATTTGATGTTGTGCTCACAGGGAGACAGACGACAGCAGCCAAATATTCATCCCGTTCATAAACGACGTGCGAGTGGGCTGCCCGGACAGCAGTTCCTCGGCTTCGGTGGATCTGGACGAAACCAACGCAACGATGTCCGGTTCGCCGCCGTCTTTGCCACCCGCTGGTCTGCCGATTCCTCCACCAGGTCGGTTAACACCCCCGAGCAGTCCCAACGTTGGTCAACCGATGAGGGAAGGCTGGGAACCGGTCGAGCTGCAGCTCGATTACTGGAGCAAGCAGACCCAGGGTGAAAAGGGCAAGAACACCTTGAGGCAAGCGTTCAGGGCCCTTCACGTTCAAAGACTCCCACCACTCGGGGAAACGCACGGCAACCATTTGTCCATGAACTACACGACCAAGGAGAAAAAACAGAAAAGTGCGTACACGCGACACGATGTTCGACTATTAACTTAATGAAGGATGTTTGAACAGTTTCAGATTACTTCCTTTTTGCTTTCTTTCACGTAATATCATCCCATAACGTTGCTACTTTTACAGTAATGAGGTTGGGCAAGAAGAAAGAAAAAGAGAAGGAAAACGAGCCAAAGAGTCAAACGGTCGACGGCGTCACGCGACTAATTTGTTCTGCGAAAACTCATAACATTCCATTAAGAGGTGAGTTCCGAGAGGCAATTGATTCTTTTAGAGGTGGGTCGCTCAGATTTTGACAAGCATAACTTAATTAATGATGTTTAAAGTCTTTCTCAAGGTGGTTCAACCTAGGTGCTTCAGAGAAAACAACAGATTCTATTCTATTAGGTCTACCGGAAAGTTCTGTCCGTTTAAGAAATGAAAGGAAATAATAGATTTTTCATAAATTTAGTAATATTTATTGTACAATATAATTTCCGTCGTTACTTATGACCTCTTGCCAGCGTGATGGCTATTTGTGAGCAACATTTTCCAAAAATATATGTCTCACATGAATATGTGCATATCTATTGAAATTTGCAATGACATTATCAGACAGAACTTTCCGGTAGACCTAATACTTTGCATAAACGCACCAGCAATTATTTAATAGTTTGAAGATATATTTTTAAGCAACGATTCTGTATACTGTTCACTTTAATCAATTTTTAATTACATCGTGCTCTCGTGTTTCCAGTGAGCATCGACGGTACTGAGTGGTACGGCGTGAAATTCTTCCAACTATCGGCGCAGTGGCAAACGCACATCAAGACGTTCCCGATAGCCCTCTTGGAGTACAGTTCTCAACAGCAGTCTCCGAACACGACGTAAAACCTCCCCCGCACCCGTCAAAGGACACACGTTTTACCGTTTATTTGTGTTCATCGATATTGCCAATTAGGATCATCAGCTTAAGCTTGCGCGCAAACCCGATAACCATCAAATCCTACTGGTAGATACAAAAGAAACAAACCAAAAACAAAAAAAAGACACGAAAGAAAGGTAAAAAGAGAAAATTTATGCAGCGAGTAGAGAAAAGCGTAGTCAGAATACAGAGTCCTCCGCTTTGAAACTGGACGAGAATGGAGCCGACCAGGCAAGTATCCTAATTCTGCCAATTTCTATACTTTGTTTTCTTCATTTCCGTTGTTGCAATCTATAGCCTCCGTTAAGAAACAATTTTATCGGCTTTGTATAAAAGTAAACGAGAGCGCGCGTGAATATAGAGACGGTAACACATATCGTATTGAAATTATAAGGACACGATTACAGTCCATGGATTTCGTTGGTTATATGGGAATGCCGCATCTGGTTCGAATAGGAAATCGTTCGAGCACAGACAAGAAATTTTCTAATATGAAATTCACTCTCCGTTTGTGCAAGACTTTTTAAGAAAACGCAGCGCGATTTTATAGCGGGTGCACGGCTAAGATAGATCTTTGTCTAAATCGCAAAAACGACAAAAGGGAAAGCAGAGCAGGAGGGGGAGGGAAAGTTTCTGTCATTAAATTATCTATTTATTTAATTAACGCGGTTCTGCGATAGACGGGGCGCGGCCAGCGACGTTATCGAAGAAGTCTGTGATACAGGCAAACATTTCTCTTAGCGCACAAACCACGTTGGTGAACATGGTCGGTGACGTACGCCGATAGAGACACAATTACACTCGTACACACGTACACACAGGTTCGTCGGAAAGAGAATGACGAGAACAGTATGCGAGCCTCCGGGAGATAGAAATCGATACGACGAAGAAAATAGCTCATTAGTTCTTATACTCCTTTTCTCGTTTAAGATTTCGACGTATTTTTTGTATTCCATTTTATAGACTTTTAGCCCCAGGCTGCTGTAGTTTAAATACTCTATTTTCAGATTTTATTATTTAATACTTTATTCCTATATTAGAACTCGATTCCCGATCTTCGATAGAGTACGTGTGTACTCGATCGCGATTATCGTTAAGCCGTTGAAATGCGAGAGCGGAAGAGGTCGAGCAGACTCTTCTCGCGTAGACACAGAGAGAAGTGGTCGAAACGCAAAGTGGCTTGCACGTTTCCGTCGCGAGAAGACGGAGTTTATGATTTCATTCGAATCTTTTCCACTGTCGTAACGAAAGAGAAATGAACGACGCGCCGCTGCGAGCAACAGTCCGGCTAGCTTATCCTTCAGCCTTCGCACCTTAAAAACCATATCATGAGAAAATGATAAACGATAGGAACTAACGTTAACGTTGTCGTAGGATTAGGAACAGAGTGAGAGCGAGTGAGAGCGAGCAAACAGAGAAAACAATGAACAAGTTCTCCCTCGGGGAGGAACAAACTGTTTAGCGTAAGGGTAGAACACTAAAAGAAAACGTACTTTTTCGACTTCTTCCTTTTTGATCATAGCAACGAGACGAGAAACTTACGTGAAGAAAAGAGAACGAAAAAAGATTCTAGAACAGTGCTTTACTGTTTCCAGCGACGTAGCCGTCGTCTTGACTGCCTAATGCCAAATTGAGAAAAGAAAAAGACAAAAAGAAGAAAAGAGAATGGCAAAACGCCTACCGAAATTTCCCCGAGAATCCCGAAACGGAAAGATAAGACTTTGAGGCGGCATTCTGTTAGCAAGGAGCGATAACGACGCCCGAACCGTTAACGATGGCGATTGCGTTTTGCCAAAGGAACATCAGCAGTGGAGTCTTTCCTTGCACACCCTACATCTACGTATACAGCGAGGATCAAAGTTGTTCGAATAGTGTAATCGTGAAAACGAACAAATTTCTACTTGCAAAAAAAAATATTGATAATTACGCATCGGCATTCGCCTAGAAAAATTGTGTGTATCGTATTTGGACAGTTCTTTATAAACTTGCGTCAAATGTAAGTTTTACTACAAGAAATGACTGTACAATAAGCAGAAAAATGCCAGCATTCTGTAGTATTACGTGTTTTATTTTGCTTCTGAATACTTTAATGTTTTTTCAAAGATTCGAATATTGGGAACTAAAAATGAAAATTATTTGTAATTCATTGAACACTGTTTCGGTAAAGCATTCAGTACGAAAATTTGTAAATCAATTAAATCTTAGAGGCACAAGCGAGACGAGATAAAAATACATCTCTTACATTCTCACGCTTCCTGTACGAATATTTTTGCACCTCACTGTGTACATACATATGCATAGCCCACTTCTCCTGTTCTTTGCTAGTCAGCAATTAGTTCTTAACAAGTATCGAACTGCTAACGTAGTCTTACATTTTACATTTTTAACGGCTAAGAGCGGTATCCTGATTGTGCGAACTCCCGGAAAAATAGTTGACTTAAAACTAACGGATGGCAACGTATAGTCGTTGCAAGACAATCGTGTCAACTCTCGTCATTAATTCATTTATTCGCCCCTTATGTTGTTAACCAAAGCCTTCTTGCAAATGAAATAGCAATAAAATTATGTAACAATTGAGATCCCAAACAATTCTTCAATTTAACAACAGGGGAAGCTTTCAAACTCATGTTGGAAGTGGGTCATGACGTAAGGGTTGAAACTGAAGTACGGGAAAGTGGAGTTTGAAGTGCAGCTGCTTCAATCTTCGCTAAGTCATCGCAATGAGACATTTCTCAGCCTGAACTTTCTGGAAAATTTAAACGATTTTGAGTTGCCGAAATTTCAGGGAAAGTAGTTATTTTAATTAACAAAAATTTAAACGATCTAACGAAAAGTTAGAATTCTTGTACCCTAAGGAGATGTGAATAGCATTCCTGAAGTGTATACTTTCACTTCGAATTATCAGGATCACTGTAAGTTTTAAATATTAAAATTAATTGTTTAGTTTCAGTGCTGATCCTGAAGAAGTGAAGTTCTCGACTCCCGAAGATTAGAGTTTACGGATAAATATTTCAGTGTAGGCAACATCCCTGATTGACCTTGAATAGTCAATTCATCCCGTTTGAATGTGTAACAACACACGAATCTTCGAAAGTCAATGACGAGACATTCTGACGATCGCACTTGCGTTTACACGACATACGTTGTCCCCTTTCGTTGAGCATGCTGAATTGTTTTCAGCAGTCGAACCTGCCATATAGTGTATGTATATATTTCTATACACATACATATATAGATATTATACGCTCCCACACAGTTTGAAGCATCCAAGCACATCTGTTCGCGCGTTGCTTCGCAGTTTTGCACAATATCGTTGATTCTCCGTCGCGGTTCACCGTCGACGACAGCGTCACCCATTTCCGATGGTTGAACAGTTTTGCAGAGATCAAAGCAGAGCCTCTATACGCTCTCGAAGCGATTAGGCTGATTAGACTGTGGATCTTTAAGCAAAGAAATATATATATATATATAATTTATCGAGCGATCAACTGGAATATTAACATTATCTTACGTTCAAATTTGTCGTCTAGATAATCACAAAATTTGTCTACGTTTGGAATATAATACAATGTTTAATTATCTACACATCAGATCATTATGAAAAATGTTTGCGTCGATTTTATCGAGTAAAAAATTAAATAGAGAGTTACTCTTTTTGTCGATAATCTTAATAAGACCTTTTTTTTGTTATGAATTAACAAAATTCGCAATATACTAGCTAATTAACTGTTATAGATCATGTTTGATATTAACATAAGAATTTAAGTATGTTGTACATTTAATAAAAGAACAAAATTCGCAGTCTAATCGTGATAATCCCGAAAGTCGCGAATCCAAAGCGTTTATCCAAAATGGAGGACGCTGTCACGAGTCGCGTATAAGGCATACTTTCGTTCTCGTGATCGTGAAAGTGTTCGAAAAGACTATAAATTTATCATTCGTAGGCCCGCGAACGTTCAGTATTGAGGCAGAAATAGAACTGGTCTTTTCCTTCATCTTTTCTTTTCCAACGGTAGTAGCCTGTTCGACATAGCGTGTAAGCGATTTTACGATGTTTTAATGTTCCTCGAAACCTTCTGTTTTTATCGTCCATCCTCCCTTCCCCCCGGCCCCTGATGTTTCTTTCCTTCCGTTCGTGCAATTGAAAATGCTATAAGCGTGTTTAGCCCGTCGACCGTTGTCTGTCGTCGAGTTTGCGTATATATAAGCTTTGTAAAACGGCGCGATTGACTCTTCTTAGGATCGTAATTAAAACTATGAGACACGGGACGGATTTTTCACAAGCGTGCGCGGCGAAGTTAGAGCATCAGTGAAGTAAGTCTTTGGATAAAATACGGGGTACCTTGATCGCAGGGCATTAATTTCACAAAAATTTGTATGATTTCACTGTGAAAAATTAATGTACGTATATAATTAGCTGCCGTCACGAGATCGGATGTTAAGAATAGCTCGTCAAAAATTTGTAACGCACTCGTCGCGTCCTGGACGTCTTTCGACCAATAACACCGCCCCACTAGCTGCTCCACGGACATAGTTACGTTACTGCAAACTGCCATTCTGGGTGCGTATGCGCGAAAAACCCGTCCCGTATCTTATCACTCTGTGAAGACACCACTGTCGTGTAAGGGACACGAGCGAGACAACGCCTGTAACGCGTGCTCACGGCCGAACCTTAAAACGCGACTTATTGTTTTTTCGTTCGTTTCTTTCCATTTTGTTGTTCCCCTTTTTTTCCCCGCCCTCCGTAAGGTTCTCTTTGACGCACGGTGTGTTCCGGCCAGTCGCGCGCTCGTTAAGACTTAATGATAATTTCCAGATTCTAGTCAAAATATGAGACCATTGTTGCAATTCGAACCGCGTTCGATCGACGCGAGGTTTGTCGGGCCACCGTGTATGTGTAGAATCGTATGCTGGGCATGTATCGCGACCCAACGGGATCTTCTATCGAGCGTCTGGATCACGATCAACGATCTTGACTCGTTCGCGGGTCCGAGCTCGACGGCCGTCAGCACACGTTTGCCAGGGGAAGTATTCTAAAAGGAAACAGACAAAAAAAAAATAATATTAATAATAATATTAATAATGAATTTGCTATTGTTCGTCGGTGTATAGTAAGATTTAACACACACGTGTGGGCGGGCAACGTCCAAGCTCAAAGCTTACAATAATTAAAAGAAGTAATTAATATATTAAACGCGCGTGTTTGGTACAGCGACTAAGGATCATTAGATGGCGTCTTCATTTCCACGAGGTTTTTTAGACGTCTTTATTGTACTGCTTACAAACGGCGGCGTCTAATCGTACATGTACATATTATTAAACTTGTTATCAATGATATTAGAGAGTTCAATTAAAAGGGCTGTCAATGATCCCATCGGACGGGAGACGAGCGATGGCGAGTAACGAATACGGCTGCTGGGGCGACGGTACTTCCGCTGCATACCTGCGCGTACCTGTCTCTTTCTTTCCTTTGTCTATCCTCGAACTTCTATCGTGAAGCTTGCTACGTATTCTTTCAGTTATTAAACTGACGCACATGACAAATTCCCTTCTCAGTCGCACATCGTTGTTCAAAGATTTCTGAAATATCCATTGTTAATTTCTGTGTTATTCTTATGTCTCTCCTATCGATGAGTCTTTTTTTTTCTTTTTGATTAAAGATTAAACGTTTAATTTCTCTGCAAAGTTTTTGATTCAATTTAATGAAATGTTATCGTAGATATTAAATTCGTTCAACCTGAAGATTAGTTCTGTAAATGTCACTGTTTGCAGACTATTTGTTATATCGATAAATTATTATTTAATGATTTGAATTTTTTAAATGATTCGATCATTAACCTTGACGGATAAAATTTTATATCGTGAAATGACAGGATGAAATTTTGATTTTAATTTTTGTTAACGTTTTGTTCGTGTTTACGTTAGTTAAGATTTCGTCGAATATACAAAGTTGAATAAATAATATTCTAACGATAATATAAAATTGCAGAAATAATATGAATGTTGTTAAAGGAACTATTTATGGCGTCAATGTTAACGCTCTAGCATCGTTGTGTACGTTTTATTAGTTTAGTAGACGTAATGTTATTTTGTTTTTGCCTTCAGGGCACAATATGAGCGCAATTGTGTTATAGAAAACTTGTTAATCGTTTATTTTATCATTTTATCAAATAATTTGTAACACTGCAGAAGAGATAATAACCAGTACCCTCCATAACGTCTTCAACGTAACCATATTTGATGAACATTGTTTACAAAACTACTTTACTTACTTTTCTCTTCAAAATTCTACACTAAAATGAACACTTGGCCTACATTATCGTCGTGACAAATCACAAAAATGTGAAAATCCCCAAAATTACACCGTCGTATCGTAACAATATTAGTAACAACAGTGATGCATGTGTACCTCGTTACCGAGCAATAAATTAAATCACAGATGACGATAACGCCCCTAGATTCCCATATAGTAATATATGAGCCGTTTACTTTGAAAGTGGCATAAGTCACTTTACCGTAATGAAAAGTGGTGATTTTTTTAATGTTTATACGAAATTATTTATACTGAGAAAAATATCAGTATCCTGAGATAACAAATACAAGTAAATCTTCTCGAAAGTTGGCATCCATATTTTTAAACGGTGTTAAAACACAAACCCTTAAATATATCGACTTAAAAATAAAGTGACTTATGCCACTTTCAAAATAAACGGCTCATATGTATACATTTGTATTTCTTTAAGCGAGCTTCATAAAATGCTAAATAGAAGAAGGTTTCTAAGAGTTAATTACGTTGAAACTCGCATTAAAAACAGATTTATTTAGGTCGAGATCGAGCAAGAGACGAGTAAAGAAAGACAGAAAGAGAAAGAGAGAGATAAAATAGAAGACGCTGGAAATAAATTTCTGATAAAGTGAATCAGCTAGCCTTTTTTAATTCAACTCCCCTATTGTTGATATAATAAATACGAAATACCTATATGTGATACATATTATTAAACGTAATGTTTCGANGTTGTTCAAAGATTTCTGAAATATCCATTGTTAATTTCTGTGTTATTCTTATGTCTCTCCTATCGATGAGTCTTTTTTTTTCTTTTTGATTAAAGATTAAACGTTTAATTTCTCTGCAAAGTTTTTGATTCAATTTAATGAAATGTTATCGTAGATATTAAATTCGTTCAACCTGAAGATTAGTTCTGTAAATGTCACTGTTTGCAGACTATTTGTTATATCGATAAATTATTATTTAATGATTTGAATTTTTTAAATGATTCGATCATTAACCTTGACGGATAAAATTTTATATCGTGAAATGACAGGATGAAATTTTGATTTTAATTTTTGTTAACGTTTTGTTCGTGTTTACGTTAGTTAAGATTTCGTCGAATATACAAAGTTGAATAAATAATATTCTAACGATAATATAAAATTGCAGAAATAATATGAATGTTGTTAAAGGAACTATTTATGGCGTCAATGTTAACGCTCTAGCATCGTTGTGTACGTTTTATTAGTTTAGTAGACGTAATGTTATTTTGTTTTTGCCTTCAGGGCACAATATGAGCGCAATTGTGTTATAGAAAACTTGTTAATCGTTTATTTTATCATTTTATCAAATAATTTGTAACACTGCAGAAGAGATAATAACCAGTACCCTCCATAACGTCTTCAACGTAACCATATTTGATGAACATTGTTTACAAAACTACTTTACTTACTTTTCTCTTCAAAATTCTACACTAAAATGAACACTTGGCCTACATTATCGTCGTGACAAATCACAAAAATGTGAAAATCCCCAAAATTACACCGTCGTATCGTAACAATATTAGTAACAACAGTGATGCATGTGTACCTCGTTACCGAGCAATAAATTAAATCACAGATGACGATAACGCCCCTAGATTCCCATATAGTAATATATGAGCCGTTTACTTTGAAAGTGGCATAAGTCACTTTACCGTAATGAAAAGTGGTGATTTTTTTAATGTTTATACGAAATTATTTATACTGAGAAAAATATCAGTATCCTGAGATAACAAATACAAGTAAATCTTCTCGAAAGTTGGCATCCATATTTTTAAACGGTGTTAAAACACAAACCCTTAAATATATCGACTTAAAAATAAAGTGACTTATGCCACTTTCAAAATAAACGGCTCATATGTATACATTTGTATTTCTTTAAGCGAGCTTCATAAAATGCTAAATAGAAGAAGGTTTCTAAGAGTTAATTACGTTGAAACTCGCATTAAAAACAGATTTATTTAGGTCGAGATCGAGCAAGAGACGAGTAAAGAAAGACAGAAAGAGAAAGAGAGAGATAAAATAGAAGACGCTGGAAATAAATTTCTGATAAAGTGAATCAGCTAGCCTTTTTTAATTCAACTCCCCTATTGTTGATATAATAAATACGAAATACCTATATGTGATACATATTATTAAACGTAATGTTTCGATACAGGTTATCATTGTTATGAATCCTTTCGGTGTTATGACAGTCATTCGCGTTTGTTAACATGTCGGCACACACGACATGTCCGCCGAGCGTCTGCGATCACTGTGCGACAGCAATAGGCAGCAAAGGATTGACCTATAGAATAGACGCCTTGTGTCCTGGGCGTGTATGGTTGTTTTATACTATTATATAGCACGACGTTGTTTGTATCAGAGATGTTTCTCCGCACGCAGAGAGTACAATACGTAAAAATGACAATATAAGTTTGTAGATCGTTTCGTAGAGAGATGTGCTAGTACCGTCTGTACAATAGTTTCGTCCTTGAGCACCGCCGGCAGTATCCATGGATCGTCGTCTCGGCTCGGCGACCACGTGGCTGTTCAACGATATCTACAGGTGTGAATGTAGAATCTGTTGCGTTGCGTTACATCTCAGGACACAAGTAGACATATAATATAATTGGGAGATAGTTAAAAAAAACATGGCAACTGTGTATGTAGAGGAGAGCGACAGTCGGGAAATGCTGAAACCTTTGAAACGAAAGATGAAACTGTGTTGTTGATGTTTGTAAGCTTGAAATATAAATGTAACGCAGTTTTTAGTATTCCATTGCGTTCCAATGCACCTGGATTAACATCCCTCCAGAGAATATCTTCTTTCCTTCGTGTACAGGGTGTTCACGGATTTATTAATCAGCATTTTTCTTTGCGAACGAGATCACTATGGAAGAAAAGATGAAAGAGGAGAAGAGAATACCACGTATTTTTCTGCAACGTTTTATACTCTCGTTTCTTCCTAGTAAAGCTGGCTAGCAAATGCGCGAACACCACGTATACTCGCTCCTGTCTCACATTTTCTCGCTAACAAAAACGCATCAAGAGGGAAGAACAATGCACATCGGATACGCTTCGCGGAGAACACTTGGCTGCACGTCAGCTCTTCCGGCTGACCCGGAAGAGACGCGTAATATAAAATAAATCACGAATTCAAACATGTGTATAAATTATAACATTCTTTATATTTATCATGGTTAAAGCTAAAAACCGATAACAAATAAGTAAAATGCGTGTACACAAAGAAACAAGAATTAACAATGATCACATATTAATCTCTTACAATGTAACACAATAAATGTGCCGCTCGGCTATTGTTGCACTTTGGATCACAGGTGATACAATAGGTAATTATTGCGTTGTATTGCATACAAAAATTAGGCGCAATAGAACTCCTGGATAGCCTTCCCTGTTTTCATAAGAAACAGATCGAAATACAGAAATCACGAAACCGACTGGAAACATTTTCCTAAACCGAGTTTCCCTTCTTCGACGTTCCTCTACGATGAAAGACCGTACCATGCTAAGTAACGGAAGACGTTATACGATTCCTATGAACGTGACTTGGGGTTCAGAAGTTTGAGCAGGAAAATACGTATTTTGATTATCTTCATCGATGTTTCGAGACACGCATCTTGCGGAAATAAATAGTTTGTTTTACAGAGTATAATTCGATTTATACGTCGCGACATTAAATTTAGAGACACTTGTACGGGCAAACAGCACAGTGTACGATTTTCTTCTGTTAATAAATGAACCTCACGTTTTGGCGGCACTTGGGTACACTTTATTCTTTTTGTTATCATTGGTTTCATTTAATCGATTCGAAACCATTCAATGTGTCTACAAATTTATAGCATCTGTTTTGAACCTGCTATATGCATTTTACTGACAGATTTAATAGAAAACGTTGAAGATACCGCACAACTGAAGAAACCAGCCAGTCGTAAAGTATCTTCAGGTTTTATAATTCCGTGTGTGTATATATATATATATTTGTAAATTATGAGGACTATGCCCATACTTTACATATTAGTAAATAAATAGTGAAACAAGCATATTATATAATCTACACACAGTAAGATTCCTCTTTAGAAGCACATTGCTTTCGAGATAGTCAACAAAATACCGTGATAACATTTGTCGTGGATATAGCGACATAAAATCGATTTATATGATTTTTACTTGTACATATGTCTATATAATATATATATGTATGTATAATATTTGGTAAAAAGTCTGGCATAGTAGTCATATTATTGTATAATAGTTGTTTGAATTTAGGCGATTGTTCATCTTAAAAGCAATGCGCTCAATCTGATATAGCACACGAACATTAAGTTTCATTGCCTCAAATGCAATCTGCGAGACTCTTGCGATGGATTTAGTCTTTATTCGTATAATGCCAACATAAAAAAAATATTCACAATAATTACCAAAAAACTTCTGACGATCTCTTCCGCCGCTAAATAAATATACTTAAATCTGTTCATCCCAGCTAGTTACGATTTCGATAACTTCCTAGCTAGTACACTTAGATAGCTATTCAATATAGATATTTTTATAGACTTTTTTTCGTTAATTCTTCACGTTCGCCCATCCATGCACCTGTACGTACGTCTACAGTTTCTCAGACTAAATTTACGCGCATGCTTAGTACGTATTGCATCACAGGAAGAGTTTAATACTCGACACATAAAAGAAAGTTTTATTTTTTTCTCGAAGTAGTTCGCGTGCATGTAAGTCAAACACATGATATTATTATTATTAGTATTATTATTATTATGTACGTTGTGTGTCGGAGAGCTTGACGAATGAAATATCATCTGATATTCTATCTAATACGAAAATTTCGAAGACCGATACTCTCTACCGGATATCGAATAGATTTCTGCGATGCGAGTTTAAACACGTGGTATCCCACCTTGAACCATCACATCTCATAAACGAATTTTGCGGCAGCTGTGCAAATGTTGTTACGCTTTGAATATTTACCATATACCGTAATATGGATACAGTAATGTTAGAAAGTAATTTCTGTCTTTCACTGTGATATCAATTACCTACAGATTCTTGTACATGATTTTATATGTATGGATGCAACGCCAGTGCCCTACCGCGCAGACCTCTTTGACCACCGACTCCACCCTTTGGTATAACGTATCCTCCAGCATGTCTGGCTGTCCCTTCCTCTTCCAAGTTCCCATTACTTTCAATCAAATCGCGCAACGGCCAGCAAGCTAAGTGACGTGATTTTCCATGGCGCGCTAAGACATGATATCCTTGTCTGAAACATGGATAATTGTTCCAGTCCTTTTTATTTTCTTGTTCAAAAAATAGCATGTATATATAACTGAAAGTGTACCTAGATGAAATTAGGCCCACGAGTAGTGCCCAGTGAGATTTATGACCTCTTTTCAAGCAGGGAGCGTGGTTGAAATCAGAATCGTATGGGATCATTACCATAGCCCCGTGAGCTAGAGCATGAGTCAGAGTATCCGGGCATTGCTGTAGATCTACTAAAATATCTGGTCTATGATCAGGTAAATATTCAGCTGCTAACGTGCCCATGAAATCAACGCTGTATACTTCTCCATGTTGCGTGAAGCCTCTAACACGGGCTTCTGCTAGAAGTTGGCTCACAGAGACTGGTTTTGTGTACTCCTGCGATGCCATAGCGAGTGCCACCAAACCGCATCTACAAAATAATACAGCATTACATTGTATACAAGATCTAGTAAGATTTGTCCAGCTAAATAGAAATTAAAGCTTACTGTGGCCCATCTTGCAAAATTGGTTCCACTTGACAAAAATATGTTACTTCCGCATCTTTTAACTCGTTTTGTGCTATTAACTTTTCGATCTCTGCTTCTGTAGAAGTAAGGGTAATCTTGGCCCAAGAAGGCAAAGAATCCGCATCGCTCACTTCTGTTTTTTCACACATAGGTGCCTCTGGCAAACTTGGGAGTGGCGGAGGTGGTGCTGGCATTTCTCGCAAGATAAATGCTTTACGAACAACTATTCTGTTCGATGAACAAATACCTGGTTGAACGTTATGGTGCAACGGCGACAATCCCACAGCTATGAAATCATGCACCTATACTTCAGTATTTTCAATTTGAGAATTGCCATTTCTCAATAGTATCCTTTCCATTCACCGCCAGACAGCATAGTGCTCTTTGTTCATTGCAAATGTTCCTTGGAATACTTTGGACAGGCCCGAGCTAAAATATCAACAAAAACAGAGCATGCAATTTGCAACGTGATTCGTGAAACGAACCGCAGAACAGAGTGCCCGAAAATGCGGATGATGTCCCGTGGATTAAAAACTTTGAATGTCAGCGTTCAATCGATTAAACGTGCTGTAGGTGGAAAAATGAATAGATATATTATGAATTGTCACAATTGCATTTGTGTATTAGTCATTTAACCTTGAGAAATATGTTACACCAATCTGTCATTGTTTCAATAATCGTGAATTGTAAGAATCTCGGACAATACCGCTGAATGTAATTATTATCGTGCTATCGGGTTGCTCGATGCGATAAAGAACAAAGATACTTTTACTTTGATACAGAAAGTCTTGAATGAATTTTACAAATTCGAACACGAAGTAATATTACTCGCTGCGAAAATTCTAATGGCAGCACATTGCACGACCGACATTGAACGGAATAGTGAACGGTGATTGAATTCTGCAGTACGAAGAATCCATTACCGATTTAATTTCGTTCGGTCGGTGTTCGTGAATATTAATATAATATATGAATATAATTATGATAAAACGAGCGACCGGGCGAGTCAGTATTTGTTTACCGTACCTAGAATACAAGAAAATCACAGGCAGCACGATTTTGACGTTTACACGTCCCTCCTATACACCCTGTGACTCATGCACGTACATTATGTAATTCTTTAGCAGAAACGAGAATTAACACTCGAGCACGTTGGCGTGACGATACTAAGAATTCGTGTAGGTTTGCAGCGATTTTTTTACGAACGGCAATTACTCGGTCAATACGATTCCAATTCGTTCCTCTCTCGAGGAGCTCTCAGGCTGACATAGCAAACTGTGCCTTACTTGCAGGCGTACGTCGCGCTATACAGTCTGATAAGAAATTTCTCGTAACCGCTGCAGCTCCGCAAATGATTCCACTAGTTTAGGTAAGCGCATTGTTTGCAAGAACCCTAGCCTCGGGAAATATATTGTTTATCTCTTTTCACTGTGACCTGGACTGGAACAGGTGCAGGGATTTCTGTACGTATCGCATGAGATTGTACACTCATGCAACGACTACAGATAAAGTCTTTCGAATCTGTCTGATAACAGCACAGAAACCGATTGGCCAAGCTACCAACCTCGCCGCCAATCCACGGCTGAGTTTTGAACAGTGCTGCCTTGCCATTTCAAGCGAGAAATATTTAAAGACAATTTAACAATTTCTCTGATTAAAAATGTTATTAAGCACCTAAGCACAATATTTAAATTCTGAATGTTTTAATTGAACATTTACTTTAAACAAAATACTATTTCGTTGTCCTTTTTTAATCACGGATGGTACTCAAGGTACATACTTGTATGGGTCAGGCATAGAAGCATTGCTTTGTATGTACAAATAATAAACGCAACAATATACATTGACTTAGTTACGTATAAAAATGATTAAATGATTTATATTTGGAATCAACATGGTCGTTTAATGAGGTGCGACCATTCAGCTCACAAATTAATATTTCTGTGTTTTTATATAAAACATTCTTTTTTATATGTTCACACTTGGATTTTCAGTGCACATACTTGTGCACAGACAAGACGCTATAAATTACTTGGATCTGGCCGTTTGGTACCACTTTAGCACGCAATACATTTTTCGGTTCATTTTTTTCACAATACATTTACGGTTCTGTATTACCGACTCTGTGGTTTGTAGTATAATCAGAGTAATGCAGTCAGCCCCGTGACATAAAAGTCCGCAAGATGTTAAATCTATTTCTTATATCTTGTCTATGGTTTGAGAATATTTAGGTTTAGGCAGGTTCAGGTCACCCTGTCGTTCTCTTCTCATAGACAATGGTCAGCTGAGAAACCATTTTCTGAAGTATCATAGTGTTAGACGGCACAGAGAATACATGAGTGCAAATGAATGTCTTTGTCCTTGCTCATGAATTCGAAACTGGAAAACGAATGTTATGTATGATAGAAGAAGCGCTTGCGAAAATTGTACACTGCGGTTTTTATTCGCATGTTCTGATTTATGTTTAAATTTGATATTATTTTACGTTAGATTTCGAATCATTCTTTTTATTAATATTCTTATTTTATATCATATCTACGACTATGTTCAGGAAAACATTATTAAATAAACATGGTCCATATAAATGACCATGTTTCCAAACTACTATTATATTATTGTTTTTCTTATAACGTAATGCAGCTAAATACACAGATACTGTATACAAATCAAGAGTGCGCAAATATTTGTTGCTTTAATGTACGTACAATCAGGGTGCAGATACACTTGGAAAACCAGGCGAGTGTAGAATTAACGAAAACATCTTGAAGCCTACCTTTTCATGTAAGCTGTTACTATTCGAGAACGCGAATTTATTGGTCTAAAATTGGAATCAAGATTTCTGTATGTACATGTATATAGTCGACAGTATCGAAGATTTGAAACATTAATAAACGTTACCCACAAAATAAAAAGACATAATAAATGTACTATAATGTAGATATGTATCTCACAACATTTAACAGTGTTGTGTGAAACTTGTAATTAAGGTTAAAATTCCATTTTCTTATTTATAAATGTTTTACGAAACGTACCAAGAACAATCTAGCAAGTTATGTGTTATATATATTTAAAAATCATATTTTATACAATACAGATAACCTATACTTGGTGTTGTTTCTATAATGACATAAAATAATCGTAAACAAATCATTATAATTGTATGTAAGTATACCATCGTACAGTATAATATGATCCAAATACAACTAATTAATAGACAATGTATTAATGTAAAAAAAAAACAATAAAAACCATGTGTATCTCTGCTGTATAAATTGTTTTTAACAATAAACTTTACAGAAATTCAATCATGGATGCATTGATATGTCGTTTATGCGGTATAAATCTCGTAGAGGGAAAGTGCAAAGATATTTTTGAAGAATCATCTGACTTAATACACCAAATTACAGAAGTTTTACCGATTTAAATATGTTAATTTTCTGAAATTTAAAAGTTTAATTAATTGAAATTGTTTATCTAACATAGGTTTAATTTTTTCTATTTTACATAATAAAAATTGCAAACAATT